TCAATCAAAAGTTGTGGCGGCCAAACGATTCTAGTTCAATTTAAAATAACAAAGTCAAAGGATTCTGTTTTAAAACACAAACTCATTCTTATGGAAATTTAATTTTGTACCTAAGTCCTTAAAGCTAAGCCAGCTTTGTAAAATTTATTATTAGATCATAATATATCGTTAACTTTAAATATTTACAATGCAACATTTCATTAATTTATAAACAAGCTTACTCCAGCCCCTACAAGCATCAATTGTTATGTGGCGCGGCTCAAGCCGCGCACGCACGTATTATTTTATACTTTTCGCTTTATAATAAATATCGTATCAAGGTCCTGTACGTCTAAAATGTAAATGTTCATGTTTTGTATAAACTGAATCCAATTGAGAATAGTGACAAGGATAAGGACCCAAGTGCCTGTACGGATTTTTCGGACCCCTGTGGACCACTACTCTTGAAATCGCTCTACAACATTAAACATTTATATCTACTACGTCATTTGGCAATTATTATCATTAATCTAACTGTCTTGCCGAGGGGGTAAAGGGAAAAGTAAACGCTTCACATTAAAATACAACATATAAAATCCAATACCATCAACACGGTTAGTAAATATCATAAACAATTTGGTATAAATCAGTTCTTGTATGTGTACATTTCTATATTATTAGTATTACCTTTTGTTATTTTGTGTGCCTTTTTGGAATCTGTATTAGAAAATGTTGAGCGTCTGGGCTGGTGTGTACTATGATTACATTGCTTTGAATTTGTATATTGAATTATATTGTATTTCAGTGCTATGTAACCAGGCGGCAAATTTGAAATGGGTTATGATGGGGTCCGTAGTCCCCACACATAGTATAATGTCCTTGTTTTACTGACTACTTCAATGAAGAACGTACATATATATATTACTCTAGAACTCTGGTCACAAGAGCAACTGCCTAAACGTGCAGAAGTGAAAACAATTAAATAAAAATATACTAGCAGTCCTTAATACTCGCAATAAATAGATTCATTCAATGTCATAAAACTCTTAACCATACACACTCTTAACCATACACGTGACCAGTAAACTAATTTAATTTTTTATTTCGTAGTAATATCTTCACATTTGCTTTATCTTAATACTATAATGAAGTACAGTAGAATATATGTTTAGAGAAAGAAAGGTTGGTCAAATTATTAACAAAAGTCCATCAGGGACTCCGTGGAGTCGAAAAAGGTACACGGCCGCTGTCTCGTGCTGCTAGGCATTTATTGATCAAGATCTTTTATAACGATGTAGTTACTTCCTATAAAGAAGTGTGGTCCAAAAATAAACACGTTTAATAGTGGAATGTGATGGCTGTTGTCAATGTAATGGCTGCTATGTGTTGCATGATTTATTAACGGGTGATACTCATAAAATATTTGTTTCAAATATTCAAGACCATCGACGAGTCCAACGCGTCTTGGTAGGTTATAAATCTACAAATCACTCCTGGAGTAATGGATATTATATGTTTATTTCAATAAATATAATAATCAATAAATTAGAATAGAAACTTGTCTTCTTTTCAGCTCACTCTTCTGAAACCTCTTCCTCTACATTCTCAGCCTCATCATCAACTTCATTATCTTCATCATCAACATCATCACCCCTGTCTTCATCGTTGGTGGTGTGTACAAATGATTTATTGATCATGATGTTTTAAAACTGTCAGGATTGGCTATGATTCTATTGTTAAATAAATAAATTCTAACATTTATTATACGCTTCGACATTAAAATATACCCAACAAAGATGTACATTAAAGTCATTCAAGCAAGACTTAGTGTTGAAATAGCAAGATTATGGATTTTTTAAACAGTTCAGATTTTATGAACAAATATTTGTATGAAGTTACCAAAATTATGCACTTTCATATCAGTTCAGACATTATGGACAAATATTGGGAGAAAAGACAATTTTTTTTGAGAAAAGACAATTTTATTATTTATCACCAATTCAATACATAATCAATAAATATATATCCGAATAAATTTGATTAAAAATTAAATGATACAAGTATGCTAGCAGCTAGCGCGCTTATATTTGATAAATATTCACGCTGTTAAAATGGGTTTTACCACACCGCCACTCACATTAGCACAGTTGGTGAACGGACCCAGGCGCTGTTAAGCTTTTATGAGCCCTGGTTGACTGCTGAGAGTGGCGAAGGGGCTGATATTAATTTTATCTTAGTTTAACCTAGATTCCAATAAAATTTTAGTTTTGTGTTATAATTATATGATTTTTATGCGATGTTTAAGTTACAGCTGCTCGCAATACATTATTGCTTAAAAATTGTTAAATATGCTCGCTATACGCTTAATTTTAGATACCGTATGTATATATACATATCAGCTCATAATACCAAATAACAATAATAAATAAATTAAAAGCATTGAAGAGGTCCAAAACCAATTCAAGCATGACACAAAGTTGAATACATTTTCATCGGAAGCTGCAAGCTTATTAACGTTTGATTCCGTACGTTCATGATCCGTTATTATGCATTCACCTTCAGGCGGTGTCGACGGATCATGCGAAAAGGGTTTTTGACAGGCTGTGCCCTTACCATAATTAAACTGAACCATTGCCTGATACGATGTAAACAAGCGTGTTGGATAGGTGAGCCGCGCAAGCGCTCGCGCATTTGTGTCGCTCTGACAAATAGCACTTGAATAATTTAGCTACCAAGACGTAAATCGCGCGTTACGTAAAGTATTATTTTTCCCTTCGGATAAAGTGAACGTTACACCCGCGTGTAACCTGCTTTAATGTTTTGTGTGCATGTGTGGTGGAGTGAGTGTATAATGTAATGATTGAATGAATCTTTTTTCTTTTGTGGTGCATATATGATGTGAGTGACAGGTGTAAAATCTAAAATATATAAATATAAATGGGGGTCTTTTCATAGGAAAGTGTTGAAGTTTAAGTCCTGCCAGTTAATATTGTCAGGTTGGTGTTGAGCCTTCATGATAGAAAGCTTCAATCGGGATTTAATTGAACCTAGTGAACCTATTTTACCACGTGCATTTGACTGCTCAAGAAACCTATTCCATAAATTTGCCCCTTTATATGCGAAATTGTGAGATGAGTGTGGTGTCACAAATCTGTCATCTCTGAGCTCAGACTTCTTAAAGAGAGAATACATGGATATGGGCTGATGACTCTTCACTATCTTCATTGTTTCAGTAATGCATCTGTATCTATATATGTTATGTACTGTCATTAGTTCCTTAGATTGGAAAATAGGTTTTGTTGATTCTCTAGAGTGGAATTCTGCCCCAAGTATTTGGCAGCGATGTGGCCTTGCTTGTTTATCACCAGTCTTCCTCAAGCTGATACATATAGAACACGGTTTAATGTGAGGTATAGTTGATTCATTGGATATATTATCAAAAGCTAGTTTGAAATAAAACGTCTTTAGGGCATTTTTAAAACACTCTACAGATGATAATTATCTCACTGAGTAGGGTAGTTCATTCCAAATTTTTGGTCCAGAAAACATAAATGCAGCATCTGTTCGTCTGAAATGAGGAGCAGGAGGAACTTTCAACAATTAAATGACGGATCCGGAAAAGTCATTGTGGCACTCGGGTCCTTGGTATTGTCGTCGGTATATTGTCATTACCTACGTTCTGCTTTCATAGTTTAAACAATAGTGAGTTCTAAACATAAATATAACAGCTTTAAACCGACTAAGTATGAATGAATGAAATACCTGACAATCTACACTCCTATAAAAATTAAAAAAAAAATGAGTAACTCGTAGTGATGTATGATTTCTAAAAACTTTAAATTAAACTTGGCGCTCACAGGTCCTCATGATCATGTGATCGCCGCATGAGGTTCTGTAAATGCGCAGGGCACCTTCGAGCTTATATTATTCACCTTACTGAGGCAGTCAACCAACGCGCGGCTTTATTTTTATGATATGATATGTTTTGATTGTTATTAATAAATACCAAAATTTAAATTTGTTTTCCTAAAATTTGTTTTCCTAAAAGTCATCATCTAGTCTCGAACTTCGTCTTCGCACTTCCCTTAGATTGACATGTCCTTGTAAGTACTGAGGGGCTATGTTATTAAGACACTTGAAGACCAGAAGTGATATTTTGAACTTAATTCTGAACCGAACAGGCAGAAAGTGGAGCTTTTTGAGGTAAGGCATGATAGGTTCATGTATCTTTTTTCCGTAAAGACCAAAGATAAATCTAGCAGCATTGTTCTGTATCTTTTGTAGCTTATGAAGATTCTTTTCTGTTATTCCATAAAAGACTGAGTTGCAGTAGTCTATGAAACAGAGGATATTGGAGTGAACTAACTGAACTTTTAGGTCATGGGAAAGCTTCGAACCGATTCTTGCTAAGTCCCTTTGATTCAAATAACATACTTTGGAGACAGCATTTATTTGAGAGTCCAGATTCATTTGGTGATCGAAAAGGAATCCCAGGTTCTTGGCCTTGCTAACAGGGCGGATTGAGAGGTCTCTTAAATCCATTGTCTGGATTGGGCTGAAATATGGTCCTATATCAATGAACTCTGTTTTTTCATCATTCAGTTTTAGGAAGTTAACTGTCATCCATTGCTTTATCTCCAGAAAGCAATTTTTCACAGCAGTTAAATAAGGATTAGAACTGTGAACATCAGAGGCACATATTAGGTGCGGTAAAAAAATCGAAATTATGCGGTACCGCACCCGACTATAAAGGTAAAATGTGCGGTAAGTTGCGGTAAATTTTTACCAATTATGCGGCAAATGTGCAGCGATTTTTTCGAAATTTGTGCGGGAATTGTGCGGTTTTCTTTTGCATTTTCTCAAGGACTTTGGAAATTCTAAAGGTATAACCGCCGCTCTTATCAAAAATAGGTCTGTTTATGTGTTACTGAGGGTGTAGTTCTTGTTGGAACCCTGTTCTTGGGTTAATTAAATAACAAATAATACTCAATTATTATAAATACAAATTAGATGAATAAAGAGGTTATACAAATCTTGTGTCAAAAGTAACCTTGTTACTCTACAATGTACTCTCTTAAATAGTGAATGATTGATATGGTGTGACTCAGTAACTCACACTACTCTGCTCTGACTAATAGTTAAAACACATTTCAATACTAAACTAAACAATGTCTTTTTTACTATTAGATTAAACTACTATTAAATTAAAACTACTACTCCTGATGATGATGTTCTTCTTACTATATGAGGGACTTCTGAATGATGAGGACTTCAAGTAAAACTGGAACTGATAACTATAAAACAAAACCCTGGGGGAAAACTACCGTGAGTAAAGTGAAAGGTAATCCACGTGAAACTATAAATGAAAGTGAAAGAGGAAGCGGGAACTCCTAGACTAAACTACTAAACTATAACTATAAACTACTTACCACTCTTTCCACGTCACAGAACACAGATAGTATCTGTCGACTGGAATCTGTGGGATCACTAAAACAACGTCACTCCTCTCCCTTCTGCTACGCTAGAGTCTGGAGTCGACAACGTCACTCCTCTCCCTTCTGCTTCGCTAGAGTCTGGAGTCAACTAAACACTGGACACTCCTCTCTCTTCTGTTACTTCAACTAGAGTCTGGAGTCGAGCCTTGTCTGCCTTCTGGAGTCCCTTTACCCCAACACTGTATATACAATCACTGGAACTAAACCTTTGCTAAAGTGAGATACAGGGTTAGTAATATGTAAGTACAAAAACAAGCTACAAATAGAATTAAGATTCTAACATTCCCCCTACTTTAAAAAAGAAAAAGTACTTACTAATAATTTAACTCATGACTTTTACAATCTTAAAGTCATAGCTCCCTATACTTTCTTTGTTAAAAAATAGATATCCGACTATCCGAGTTAAATTAGGAGATAAACTCTAGAAAAAATGTTAAGTTAAAAATATTCTAGTCCCGCACGCTGCACAAAAACGTGTCGTGCGCGCTAAAAATACTTTCTATGAGTTTTGAGAAAAATTGCGCGGCTCAATCCGAAATATTTCTAATTTAATACGTGTCATGTCCACTGTCATAAAAGCAGATAACTAAAAAAGCAGTTAACGATTATTCCATATTCGGCGAGTCACGTGGTACAAGTGGATTAAATCTCTGTTAACGCGGGAAAAACATCCGCTGTAAAACAGGCTAGTGGCTAAAATGACTGCCTTCCACGCTGAGCGTGAGATCTGAGAGATATAATACTTGTACAAAACGTCCGATAGAATTAATACAGTCTAACTATTAGCTAATTAACTATCAAAGTTCTTAATACGAAAATCTCTTTTCTATGAACGGAATTAAAGCATCGTTCTAGGACTGACAGGTGCACAAAAAAATACCCGTCCAACACTGTAAACAAGTGTGATCTTTAGAGATTTCTGTATTGAGTTATCATAATGACAGAAAACTGCGTACTAAAACTAAATATTAGGAGCTATTCAAGCTTTAAACACAACCTCAAGTCAATAATGAGTCACTAACAAATCATTGACACACACCACTGTACTAAACAGTTCTAAAACGTAAAATACATGAATTCTGTCGTTTAAAAACAGGTTCAAACTGAGTCCCTAAAGGCTCGGGATCAGTGAAGAACATGTAATAGCATGTTGATCGAAACGACAGCATTCTTATAAAACCAAAAACTCACGCTGAGCAATCTGCTCCTAGCTCATCCCAACAGAAAATACCAAACATCCCCTGTTAACACTTCCTACAGAAGATGCAAGTTAATAAAGTAATATCAGGTAAACACTTTCATGTCTTTGAGAAGAAAGGCTCGTCTTTCTGAAAAGTAAGTTTGAAACTGAAATGTTAGACTTTTAGAAGTAGGAATCTGAAATATTCTGTTAGCGGTAATTTTATTACACATGTCACGTACAAAATATACTTTAAATTGTATCTATTAATCCTTATTATCTCTACACCATGTAATAGAAAATTTAGCAAATCAACTGACAAATGTGACCGAGCGCTACAACACAAAGAAAAGGAGCGCTAAAGCTGGTAGACACGTCTAAATTCGCTAACTAATCTATCTTTCTCCCAAAATTGTTGAAAATTTAGCAAATACAACCAAAGTTCAGTTACCAGACTAAGAGAAAAGAAAAGAAAGGATAGACTGGTTCCTAAAAATGGGATTCACTAACTTTTCATCAAACATTCCCAACTTACTACATTCTTCAGTAAAAAATATGAACTTAACGACAAAAAATTGTCAAAATATCCTTCCCAAAACTTCTGTTCGAGAAACTTCTCTAGAACATAAAAACACAAAAATAATATACGTGTAAAGAGTTACAAATGTTTAACAAAATTAAAATCTGTTAAATACAAACACTTCGTGCATGGTTAAAAGTCTCTGAAAGGTGAAAAATGTAAAAATGACTCGTTACAAATTGGTAATTCTAACAATACTAATATATACACACACATTTAAAGTTAAAAGTTATTACAAATGACGTTAAAAAGTTATTGTTTAACCAAATTGACATTTCAAACAACAAATAATCCGAGCAAAAATATTCAATCTCTTTCTACAACATAAAGTCCAAAACAGTTATACTCTCTCTGACATATTCACAGTATCCTTGATCTATGACTTAAGCGAGCTTGCTGAAAACTGCACCTCTCTTCGTGAGACATCCTGAACAATCTTTAACCTCTGCACTTGTACAGAGTTATCCAACTCAACTGATACGGGTTCACCGTTTGACTCGTCCAGTCGTACATTGTAAAGATTTTTGTTCTTCCCTGTAGGTTTCCCGGCTCTACCTATCACCAAGGCATTATTCCAATCATCACTCTCCGAGGATCTGAACCTGATAATGTTATTCTTCTTTACACCCACGCCTGTTCTGGTTTGACACACACTTTCCCAATCCGACTGATTCACTGACAGATCTGACAGATTCACACTCCCTGAAACTGAACTTACAGTTCCATGGTCATCTGGCTCAATTTCTGTCTCAATTTCTGGCTCACTTTCTGGCTCACTGTCTTGATCCACATTACCTGAAACTGAGCTCACAACTCCATGGTCCTCTAGCTCACTTGCTAGATCACTGTCTTGATTCACGTTCCCTGAAACTGAACTCACAGTTCCATGATCCTCTGGCTCTCCTTCTAGATCACTTTCTGACTCCCTGTCTTGCACAATCTCAAGGTCACCTCCACTGAATGTTTCTAACTCCTCCTCTTGATCACTTTCATCGTCACTTAGTGACCATGGCGATGTAATCTTCTCCTCTAAAACAGGACGGACCTTAATTTCTGTTGCATGATTAGTTCTTCCAGAATCTGTTTGGCTGATAGAACTTTCACATCGTCCTATGGGTATCATCATGTGTCCTGACTTAGTGATCACTAGATTCTCTTCTCCTCCGAAAGCATAAACTTTGTCAGTTTCAGTATCGATCTTCATCTTCATCTTTTTCATGGACTCTCTAGACAGTAACAAAGGAATATCATTTTCCACAATAAACACGTTTAAAGTTACTTTCTGACCACATATTGTTACTGGGAGTGCTTTTTGTATCCTGGCTGTAACTGCATCTCCATCCCCGAAACAAAAATTCTTCTCACAAGGAGTCACTTTGACCTCTTCATGTTCAGCTGATGTGAGAGATTCCTCGAAGGCTGTCAGCCATTTCTTCCCACACACTGTGGAACTAGCACCTGTATCTAAAAGTGCTCTATTTGTCGATTCTCCCATAAGACACTTGTCTTCGTCTTTTAGTTTAAAGTCAGACTCAAAGAATGTAAGCTTCTTCTCTCCAAATGTGTTGTACTTACAGTCTCTCATCAAATGGTCTGTTTCCTTACAAATATGACAACGTAAGGGTCCTGATTGTTGGGCTTGTGCTCCTTGTCTGGATCTAAATGGAGCTTGTTGATACACGTTTCCTGAACTCTGTCCTTGAAACGCAGGTCTTTGTCCGAAGGGCCTTTGTCCGAAAGGTCTCTTAGATGAATAAAAATCCCTGTGTTGGTGGTGTCTTTGTTGATAAAAAACTTTCTGAGGGTCTTCCTCCTGGTTGCTCTGGTCATCACCAAAATGTTCTGAATTATTCATGTCGTACTGTTGAAAATAAGTATTTACAGGCTCTTCTTTAATCTTTGGTTTTCCGATGGAATATGTTTCACCGCTTGCGCTGCTTGCGCTTGATGAAGAAGAAGATGTATTAGTATAATCTTCTCCGTATGCTCTCTTAAGCTGGGATTCCATATTCTCGTAGCTTAACTTAGAGACCGTTGCCCTGATCAACGTCTTTTGATGGTCCGAGAGATTAGCATGATGTAAAAGGAAGTACGCTAGTACTCCATCTTCAAATACCACAGTAGTACCACGCTTCTGCACAAGGCTCTTGTAACGATGGCTAAATTCTCTCACATACTCTTCCATGGTAACTTCCTTGGGTCTTCTGTAGTTCATGAAACTGTCAATGGATGTAAAGACTGACTGTGTCTGGTCTTTTTCATATAACTTATCCAGTTCCTTAATGAGAACATCTATTCCTCCATCTTTGGATAACTCATCCACGTCTAGCTGTATAGCCACAGCTTCTGGCTTTCCGGACATATGCATGATTAATGCAGCTGCTCCTGCTTCAGGCTTGACCGTGGTTACCTTCTTCCACCACTGAACTCTCCGTTTCCAATCTGAATAGTTGGACTTCTCATCGAGAACAGGTACTTTGTCACTTCCCATGATGGATGTAGAAGAATCTGAAAGCTGAAATCGGGTGTTAGGTGTTAAGTGTTAGTTAAAATATACAAAAAATAAATGCGGTCCGGTGTAACGTAGTTCTTCCTGCTACCACTGTTGGAACCCTGTTCTTGGGTTAATTAAATAACAAATAATACTCAATTATTATAAATACAAATTAGATGAATAAAGAGGTTATACAAATCTTGTGTCAAAAGTAACCTTGTTACTCTACAATGTACTCTCTTAAATAGTGAATGATTGATATGGTGTGACTCAGTAACTCACACTACTCTGCTCTGACTAATAGTTAAAACACATTTCAATACTAAACTAAACAATGTCTTTTTTACTATTAGATTAAACTACTATTAAATTAAAACTACTACTCCTGATGATGATGTTCTTCTTACTATATGAGGGACTTCTGAATGATGAGGACTTCAAGTAAAACTGGAACTGATAACTATAAAACAAAACCCTGGGGGAAAACTACCGTGAGTAAAGTGAAAGGTAATCCACGTGAAACTATAAATGAAAGTGAAAGAGGAAGCGGGAACTCCTAGACTAAACTACTAAACTATAACTATAAACTACTTACCACTCTTTCCACGTCACAGAACACAGATAGTATCTGTCGACTGGAATCTGTGGGATCACTAAAACAACGTCACTCCTCTCCCTTCTGCTACGCTAGAGTCTGGAGTCGACAACGTCACTCCTCTCCCTTCTGCTTCGCTAGAGTCTGGAGTCAACTAAACACTGGACACTCCTCTCTCTTCTGTTACTTCAACTAGAGTCTGGAGTCGAGCCTTGTCTGCCTTCTGGAGTCCCTTTACCCCAACACTGTATATACAATCACTGGAACTAAACCTTTGCTAAAGTGAGATACAGGGTTAGTAATATGTAAGTACAAAAACAAGCTACAAATAGAATTAAGATTCTAACAGTTCTTTACTAAGACCATGATTGAACCTATATTGAGATTCAGTTATCTGAGAACAGTGACTTAGAGTAATCAGATGATGTGGTGAAGTTACGAATGATAACTGATAAACTATAATCAAAGTATGGTAACGACGAGGGTTTCATAACGGCCTGGATCACGGTCCCGAAAGGGCCTGGGTAACGGTCCCGAAAGGGCCTGGGTCACGGTCCCAAAAGGGCCTGGGTAACGGTCCCGAAAGGGCCTGGGTCACGGTCCCGAAAGGGCCTGGGTCAGGGTCCCGAAAGGGCCTGTGTCACGTGGTAACTGGGTCACGTGGCCTAGGCATGAGTTCCAAAAGGGCCTGGGTCACGGTCCCGAAAGGGCCTGTGTCACGTGGTAACTGGGTCACGTGGCCTAGGTATGAGTTCCAAAAGGGCCTGGGTCACGGTCCCGAAAGGGCCTGAATCACGGTCCTAAAAGGGCCTGGGTCAGGGTCCCGAAAGGGCCTGAGTCACGGTCCTAAAAGGGCCTGGGTCAGGGTCCCGAAAGGGCCTGAGTCACGGTCCTAAAAGGGCCCGACTATAACATATTTTGGTTTTTACACTCGAAAATCTTAACGCGAAAATTTCAAAATTATGCGAAATTACGCAGAAAATGCTAGATTATGCGGAAATATGCAGAAAATTACAAAATGTGCGGACATGTGCGGAAAACAATAAATTATGCGGACATGTGCGGAAAACGGTAAATTGTGCGATCCCGCACCCATCGCACCTAATATGTGCCTCTGGTGAACATCAAAAGTAAAATACACCTGTGTGTCATCTGCATACAAATGTATCGAGAAACAATTTCTTCAAGATCTCTGGTATACAATTATATGAACAGTAGTGGTCCTAAAATGGATCCTTGAGGTACACCAATATCCAGATAGCCTTCAGAAGATGTGACTTTTTTTTACTTTAACCTTGAATGTGCGATTATTAAGGTAACATTGTAACCAGCTGAGTGCTAGTTCTGTAATACCATACGCATTCTTGAGTTTCGTAAGAAGGAGGTTATGGTTTATGGTGTCAAAAGCAGCTGATAGATCTAAGAGTAGAAGCACAACATTCGATTTGCTATCAATCATCATTAGAATATCATTATGTATCTTGTTTATAAATACTCAAAGCCTAATGTGATATTGTATGATATTAGAAGTTTGACAGGTTATTCGAGAAGCTTCAGATACTGATTACCTTGGAATGGGATCACGTGAATCTCTTTACACTTTAATTTAGTTATTTCCTATACTGTGCTTATTTTGTTTCCCACACGAAGCCTGGTATTTAAACTTTTCGCTGTATATAGAGGTTTCCCTGTATCTAGTTTATTAAATGTCGGCAAAGTGGAACTGTGTTGTTGTGTTGTTGTGTTGTTGTGTTGTTGTGTTGTTGTGCTGTTGTGTTGTTGTGTTGTTGTGTTGTTGTGTTGTTGTGTTGTTGTGTTGTTGTGTTGTTGTGTTGTTGTGTTGTTGTGTTGTTGTGTTGTTGTGTTGTTGTGTTAATTTAATATTAAATCTTCAAAAACCTTTAAGAACTGCTTTCCAACTTTTATTTTTAGTTTTAATTTTATTATTTTGCATTGTGGTTTGTGTTTTACTGACTTAATTTTACTGCAGCTTCATGGGATCTCGATGTACTAAACAAGCAGCAGCAGTAGCCCCCTGTGACATGAGTTTTGACGATGCAATTACTAGTGGTAAAATTAAGCCGTTAAGACTAGTTTCTTTGAGTGACAATGGGGACCTTTCTGTTCAATCAGTTAAGCATGAATTTACAGATGAATACTTTACCAAAATTGGGATTTGCTCCTATACATGGGGTCATGACAGAGTTGACTGGTATGACAGTGAGACAGAACTGACATGGAAGATAAGCAACAGAGCAGAAGAAATATGTCGAGCTGCTCTAGAATTTTTTGATCAGGTGTGGTTAGATGGTCTCTGCATGGTTCAAGCATGGCCAGCACATATAAAACTTAACATGGGATTTATGGGAAAATTGTACTATCATGGAACAGTCTTCACGGAGATGAGTATTGGGCTAAGACCTGAATATTGCTACAGAGGCTGGGTTCAACAAGAAATTTCATTCACAAAAGTTATTTGTGTCATCAAACCATTAAATGACTTCTTGAAAACAGAAAGTGGTAGAGCTGAAACGGCCTTTATTGAAACAAATAAAAGAAGTTTTAAAGGATCTTCAAAGATGGTTGATTTAAATATATTTACTGGTAAGCTGTCTAACCAAAAAGTTATCCTGAAAGTGCTTGATGATGTTGCTGTATATTTGCTTGGTATTCAAAGGGTTCTTCAAGGTAGAGATGATGAAGATTTGAGTGATGCATTAGAGGAAATCATTTCTGAAATAGACGGAATTGAATTCTGGCTAAGCGATGATGATGCATCGGAAAAGGAAATTGCCAAGTCAAGCCTTCATGTTTACAGATTGTTTAATGAATTACTTGAAAAGGTTTCTCCCATAGTCAAACTCCCCAGAGAGGTTGATGAGGATAAAGTTCTTATGGGGGCGCTGTCAAGCTATCGCACAGGCTTCTTCAGGTTCAACTCAGATAGAATTGTTGCTTCATTCTCCCTGGCTGAATATGTCTTAAATAAAGGGCCAGTTGAGATAAAGAATGCTCTTGATTCTTTCTTACCTAATTCTTATCCGAGTCAGAAAGTCGATGTTGTCATTGCTAATCCTGGAAAATGGTGTTCCGGTATTAACCCTAAAGCTGGTATCCAAACCATTAAAGTTGATGATCTTGTAAAGAGGTTTCTTCCATTTGTCACGTCCAAAGAAGGTTACCGTGATTTTCCATCCATAAGCAAAAAGGCTAACCTTGACTTGATGTTTTCAGTTATTCATGGTGTGGATGTTTCAACATTTGAAAAGTATGAATATGTTGCAGGATATAAGAAAATTGATGAGTCAATTGCAATGCTTCCAGATTATGGGATTTTCTTGGGCATTAGAAACACAAAACAGCCTAAAAACCCTATTTTAGGACTTATCAATGTCACAGTAGCCAAGAGTTTGTCATTTTTCGTCAGTAAGAGTATGTTAGGTGATACCAATGGTTGGTTAGCAAGAGCTGTGGCTCTGTTAAACTCCAGCTACTACGTATACCAACTGGGTCCTGAGAAGCATTCTATCCACCAAAGGCCTTCTGACATAACTGAAGATAAGAATCTACCTGAAAGTGATTATTTCACACCAATCTTTGGAGCCCTTCAATTTGCTCAGTTTATCCTCGGTGCAGTTGCTGAATACGCATCTTTTAATCCAATTGATGGAGATTTGTTGACGGTCAAGAAATTGAGTGGCACTACATACAAAGGCAGAGAAAAGGAAGTGTTGGATATGATGGACAGTGTTGAAACTGAAGAGCTGGAATGGGGTGGAGACTCCTGGGAACACACTGAATTTTAAGAAGGACCAATTAGCAAGATACTATTATAGTTTCATTTCAATGTAGGATCATTCAACATGACTGTTTTTGTATAGGCAAATTACTAGTGAATAATTATTGATCTTTTTAATTACCATCCATTTGAGGATATTAGAGGATATATTTCAGCTATTTTAGATTGTGTATTTTTGTATCAATAGTTTTTAATTGTCGAATTTTTGCTACATTTTTAACAGAAATTTATTGTATAGTGCTGTAGTTTTCACATTGTAAGATTGTTTTGCATTATATTTTTATGGTTTATTATTTTTAGTAATATTTACTTTACTACTACATTTGAAAGCAGACATAATTAGTTATTTTAGTTTATTATTGTAAATTAGTTTATAATTTGAGATTATCATGTACGATTTATTGAGCTATTGAAACTTCAAAAAAAATATTGATTAGTTTCATTGTGTATAATAGATTGCAAAATAGTTCAACTCTATTCCAATTTATAACTTGATTTAAATTCAATTTATTCGAACTGGCAACGATTTTCACTTTAATAATAAAAATGTTCATATTTTCGTAGGAAAATGTTAGACTCTATATTGGAAAGCTATTGGTTATTTCCTCTGGTATTATTCGCATTTGTCCTGTTACTCTATTCCTATGTAACTGCTATTCCTAAGTATTCCTTTGCTGGAAAACATGTCGCTATCACAGGTAAAGATCCTTTTTAAAATGTATACTCAACTTCATTATAATCTCCGTTACCATTGGATCTCAATTAAAATTTATCAACCTCAAAACCAATTCGGTATTAAAACAAAATTTAAAATAATTTTTACCTAATCACGTGATCCCACACTCTTATCACGTGATCCCCAGGTGGTTCAAGTGGTATAGGACTTAGTGTAGCTGTAGCTGCCATACAGAGAGGTGCTCACGTCACTCTGATAGCCAGAAACAGAGACAAACTGGAAATGGCACGAGAACAGGTTGGAAATATGATATCTTTAGACTTTTACTTATGCTATTATATTGGGTCGTTGGATTTTTGTAGTGTGGTAGATTACTGCTCCCTGAAATTGTGGAGGTTAAACATGTACTGATATCAGTAGCTACTACACTCGTTGATCACATTGAATCTGACAGGTTCTGGATCACACTGTTAACGATGAACAGAGGGTTGCAGTCTGCAGTTTAAATGTGAAGGATGAGTTCCAAGTTGTCCGGTCTAGTATCCAGGAAGCAGAGGATTACATTGGGAAATGTGTAGATGTCCTCGTTAACTGTGCTGGTATGATGCTCCTCTTTTAAGTTCCGTCTTAATAATTTCTATCTTGGTTACAACATGATAATAACGCCTACAAAGATTTCTCTGAACCTCTAATGTAAACTGCATGATCACTGATCAATGAAGGTTTCATAATATGATAACACTCCATTATGAGCCGGTATTCACTATTCAGGAGCACTGAGCAGGTATTCACGCACAATTTGAAAATGTCGCACTCGCCACTGTTTGTAGGCGTGGTCGGCATGAAACTTAAACCTAAAGTCTAATGTTTCTAAAGTGTTTATCTTGTAGAGTACTGTTGTGGCTATCCATGTAGTTCAAAACGAACCACTTACTTGCAACACAGCTTACTCTACCTACCACCAAACATAAATAACTATTTTGAACTGGAAAATTGTACTCAGTTTCGTCAAACCAAGAGCAGTGACAGTATTTTTCTTTAGTCCTGTAAAAACTAATTTTATGAAATTTTAGAACGTGAATTTGGGTTAACGGCAATATGATGTACAGAGTATGATGTTGGGGTTATAACTGACAGATCTTGATATATCTTATGAATATCCAGGACGTTACAGAAGGAATTGATTTAATGTAGTTGGAGGAGTCCTAACTCTCCTCACGTCCGAAAATGGCGTTTCTCTTGTATCAATTATGAATACAACATTCTGACTTCTACACAAAATCATAAATGTAGAAGTCCGAATATTGTATTTATATATAATCAAGATGTGTCGGATTTGTCTGAGGATGAGAATTGGCTATTCTAATTTAAAATTGTATTGTAGCATTTAATTCGAAATTGCATTCCATACTAACGAACTGTGCTATATAATAATTGAATATATATAATATTATCTATTTTTGGCATGCCTGATCTTAATCTAGCTGACTCGGCAGTTTGGTTGACAATAGTAATTAAATACTATATGTTATATATTACAGGTGCATTAGTCTTCTTATTAAGACACTGTTCCAAACTGTACTAAATATAAAGCTTTAATTGATGTATTATTTATTGAAATATCATACAATAATGTTATATTATATAGAACCCTTTAAATAAATAAAACAATAAAACAATTAAACCCCCAGGAACGTCGATATGTGGTTGTTTTGAAGACATTCCGCCGTCCCAGTTTGAAGACATGATGAACCTGAACTTCATGGGAAGTGTTATTCCTACCCAGTGTGTGGTAGCTAATATGAAGAGGCAGAAAAGTGGCCGCATTGTATTCTGCTCGTCTCAGGTAATTTGTTTCATTGGTTAATTAGTTAATTGGTTTAAGCTAGGGAGGATTGGTTGTTATGTGATGAGCTGTAATACATTAGCGTTAAAATTGAGTGCAGCTTCAACAAGTGATCTTCTGCAAATTGACCGACTAACAACGACTACACAGTGAGCACACTAATTGTTAACTTTACTTAATAGGGCTTCAATACGCAACATAATACGTGCTTACCCTCTGCTCTGGGTGTGTCTCATAGTAAAGTAATAAGGTTGGCACATAACTTAAAGTAGTAGGTCTTTATAACTACTTACATAACTTGATTCATTATACGCAGAATATTATAATATTCATTATTTTAAAAGGACAGTCATGTGTTGCAATAAGATATGATTGATGGTTCGTACCATGTTCAGGTGACCTGTAATACTTAGGATCATTAGAATAGACGAATTATTAAACTTACACGATACTATGTCATGGTGGGGTCAAGGTACAACAATAATTCTTACACCAAATAAAAACAGCAAACCTTGATATATTTCTTGTTGTAAGAGTAGAAACCTGAACTTCTTATATAATAGTAACAAAATATACAAAGTATATTAAAAGTGTATCCAACTGGTCCAAACTAATTATGTATGTTTTCAAGTTATTCTCCTCAACATGTTCTAACTAACAACTAAATCACACACACCCCCTTAGGCAGGACAGATAGGTATATTCGGGTACACAGCGTACAGTGCCAGTAAGTTCGCACTACGTGGGTTCAGTGAAGCTCTGCAGATGGAGTTGAGGCCTCACAATATCTACCTGCACGTAGCGTACCCTCCTGATACAGATACACCGGGGTATAAGGAGGAGATGGCGGTCGGGAAACCTAAGGTAGGTGCAATGCCACCCCACAGTTAATACTGTGAGTTCAGCTTTAGTTCAGTGAACAAGGTGTGGAAATTTAGATCTGTAATTACAAAATAACCCAAATTTACCTCGGTTGCTAGGGGACTAATTGTGATTGTTATGGTGGCCATGGCAACGTACAAAATTCAGAAGTTGCCATTAAACTACCAGTAACTGTTTACAGAATGAAGTTTCGACAAATGGATAACAAATTATTCAAAAGGTACACCCATGCAAGACTTTTGAAACACGCTGTACGACCTCAGTAATCAGTATCCCCTCAAATAACGAGGGTTTCTAGCCCTTTACGCTTGAGTTATTTCGTGAAGATTAGACAGCCCTTCTTATTGTTAAGAAGACATTGTTGTTTTATTATAACCTTGCTATTAATAGCATGTAAACATTGCCCGAGCAAGCAGCTACAAGTAAATTAGACGTTACATAGTGTGTACATGATAGGTTACAATGTAACCGTTACAATGTAACCGTTACAATGTAACCGTTACAATGTAACCGTTACAATGTAACCGTTACAATGTAACCGTTACAATGTAACCGTTACATGGCAGGCAGCTTGTTGATTAATTCAGACGTGTAACTCTCGTACTGTCCGTGTGAGTTACTTTGCAGTAGTGTCAGACAATGTGTTAGTAAGATAAGAGTTTAGTAGATAGTCCCTGGTAATGTTACTCCAACTAATTAGAGTGTGTTAGGTAATCAGTGTTAACAATACAATGTCACTGTAAGGTACGCAGACTAGAGCATTGTTTTGTTAATTATCTAATTGAGCTTCTTCATCTCGTGGTCAGGGTGGTGATACACCCTGATACAACAATACACCATATTGTGGTGTAACAATGTGGATGATTTCAGCAGGAATTTGCTGCAGACTGTATCATTCCAACTTAACTGGTAATTGGACCCAATTAGAAGATAATTTACCATTGATAACACGTGCGGTTTGAGGTGTAATAATCCGGTTTATTTGTTACATTCTGTATATTATAATATATAGTAATGAATTGTTTGACCGTAGTGTGAGATGTCATCAAAGCAGCAAAAAAAATTAAATGAGATCTTATCAATTGCTTTAGTGACAGATAGTATATTGTAATAATATATGACATCTGCCTAGATACCTTATTCAGTACTTCCTCTGTAAAAGATAGAGTAATGTAATTGTAATGATATTGGTTCCCGCACAGTATAACGACAATATTGCGAGCCTTTCGTAATATCATTGTCATAAAATCCTTGTCGTAATATGGTGTGGTTACCATCTGCAATATAGCCAGCTTTTCTCATGGCCGAGTGACACCAAACTCAGTAAGTACATCGATTCATGACGATACTGGAAACTTCTGGGATTTACAAGTTATCGTTATGTATCATTTAATCATTTAATCATATAAGCATGAAGACCTTATAGTCTTCCGTAAGGGCTGCAACCACCTTCGGATTGCAGGTTGCGTGTCTAGACTCTAGGTTTTTTCTTTTATGTCGAGGCGGAAAAGGTGCAGGAGACCACCTACTCCACGATGGCATCTGATACAATACAATAACAATATAGCTACATACCGCATAGTATTATGTAAACGGTTCACCAGATAAATGCTCATTTTAGGCAATTATCTCGTATTTTATGTGGGAGTACTTAACTCCTGGTTAAAGGCGCAGTTTATATGATCGTACTGCTAAGTGAGGCATACGATAAGCTGTCTAACCATCACCTTATTCAACAGATGTAACGTGTTAAGATTGTAATATAAACTGTGGCTGATGTTTCGTGTGTTATAATTGTTTTAAAATTTGAATTACTGAGGCTAAGTTCTGTAAATCAACCTTGTAATTATGTAATTATAGAGCAATGAGCAGTGAGCAATGAGCAATGAGCAGCCGCAACGATTCATCAAAACCATTGTTTATTGATTTACAGTTATCACTGAATGAATATCCAATTATGAGAACCGTTTCCCAAAGAAAGCAAACACCAACCCTTTAACGTAGAGCTGTTTTAATAGTCGTGCAATATTAACATTAATTAAACAGATCATTAATCACACATTAATTAAATATCAAACGTCTCGATCTTTTATGAATAAATAAATAAATTCTACCATTTATTACACGCTTCAAAGATAGAGGAATTTAATTCTCCCTTTGAATCAATCAAGCTAGATGATTTGTAATCATATAGTACTATATTATCATATAGTACATATATAGTACATATTCAGCAATTATAATAGCAAGCATTTCTCCCAATTGTTTGGTGTATACAATTAAAGAGTGTGTACGCTTCAAAGATACACTGATATAACCAAAAAGATACATTTAAGTCAGTCAAGCGAGACTTAGTATGGAAATAACTAATTATTATGGAAATAACTAATTATTATGGAAATATCTAATTATTATGGAAATAACTAAATAATGCACTTCTATATCGGTTCATATCTTGAGTGTGAGAGTCAATTAATCCAAAATTCTGCATTTAACACAAGTTTAGTGCACCAGAATTGAATAATTGTTACTTAGTGAAATGTATTTTGTGTTGTTTGTAATCATTAAACCATTATACCTAGAAGGGTGACAGATATTTGTGTCGCCAAGCAATGAATAAAGTTGCACAAAGTAATCATATAGTACATATTACTAAGTTATTACATATCAAATTAGTATGTAGTACATTTACATTTTACACACAGTTAGCTATATCTAGTGTATTATACTCAAGGAAGTAAGAAATTGTTCATATCAATGATTCAATTACCGATAACTTTTCAGCAATTATAATAGCAAGCATTTCTCCCAATTGTTTGGTGTATACAATTAAAGAGTGTGTATGCTATAACATCAATTATTTTTCTTAGGAAACGATATTGATATCTGAGACATCAGGATTATTTCCACCGGACAGAGTTGCAGAAGATCTTATCTGTGGTGTTGAAAACGGTTCGTTGACTTTCACTTTTGTTTCACTTTCACTTTTGTTTCACTTTCACTTTTGTTTCACTTTCACCTTTGTTTCACTTTCACTTTTTGGCTGCTGAGTTATATCCTTAGTAGACTAGGGTTCTGTTCACGTCAGCATATAATAAGGAAGCCACTCTAATGCTTTATTCATCGAGATAAGTGTGGAAATTTATCTCGTGTTTTTGGTTACGTGTACAAATTTAATTTGACGGAAAATTGAACTTCCGGTCGCTGTAACTCGACTCCCAGCTTGGTGTAGGAACGTTCAATATTTCCAGAAGGCAAGAATTCTTCAACATTAAGTATTGAAGACTTATCAGTATAGGATTAATGGAATCGAAACTAGTGGGGAGATGATGCACAAAGTCACGTGTCAAAAGGCTCCCCCTTCCGCCCAAACGTTATTGAATACTGCCACATATTACATCCGTTGATTAACGTGATCTCACGCAAGGAATAAATGACTTCAAATAAGGAGTTGATTAAAAAGCAGTTTTTGTTCAAATTACAAATTAATCGATTATTGAATACATTTATTAGATAGTGTTGGAGGAAATACAGTTAATTAATACAATCACGTAAATGTATGATATAATTTCTCTGGATATCTTCGTACATTATGAATACATTATTATACATTAATTCCACTGAACATTTTATTGAAAGCTTAGTGAGCAACGTGAAATTTCAAGCCTATTAAATTATGAAATATCAGTGTTTATTTTCACAGTTCCTATAAGTTTATATGTATCACAGTTCTTATAAGTTGTTTTCACACGTCGAGTTTAACTTTAACTTACCAGCGGAATTTTAATTACACTTAAACTAATCAACATTACAATTCTAAATAGACGAGCTAGTATTACACTACTAGTCTTAAAATTCGAAATCATCAAACCGTGAATCAAATTTATAAAGCTGTTAAACATTAATTCCTCTCAGCATCAATTCCTCTCAGCGTAAGATTGAATAGTCCACTCAAAGCTTATGAATATAATAGCGTAATGAACTCCTCCTCAGTGTACCGACAAATGTTTACACATTCGGACAGCTGATTTATTAACCATCTCACCGTGTAGAAGTAAAGGACAGAAAAGGATTTACAATTCTGTGCATGGCAAATTCGGTTACATTTGTTTGTGGTATAAAACATCACATACACAGATAAAGAAATAAAGGCTTTTATTTGTCCATATTTCCATATATTTTTGAGTTGTAATTATATATTCAATACCAACAATGTTTTTCTTATCTAATTGAGCTAATTAACTAATTACTAATTACCCCAGGTAAATACAGTATAAGTACGGGTATTGAAGGGTGGTTGTTGTCTCAGACCTGTGCGGGCACAGAGCCAGTCCACGCTATGATACATGGTATTTTACAGGTACCAGCAAATCTTATATAAAATATTTATTTTAGTTAGATTTTAATTAGACAAACTTTGTGGGTGATTACAGTTGCAAACCCATATAAATACATGTATAATAATATCCTTTGCGGTCTGTTATCAAATCTGTCTTTAAAAACATCTTTATCAATATGTTATATGTATCATACACTATACAATATATGTACATTAAAAGAACCGACCGAAATATTTACAAAATTTCTACTTTCTAGCAGCCTGATTTTCACTATTATGAAATTGATATGAAGACTTCCATTAAGGACACCTACTGTATTCAGAGTTATCAAATCATTTAGTTAAATCTATCCGTATAGTCATATCCACTATCCAGTGCTGCCTGCCGTAGGTCCACTTAAATGAGGTGGTAGCTACATACATTCCATCTAGATCAAGAGTAATACAGCATTCCTGTGATGAGATTACAGAATATAACACTGATCAGCTGCTGTCTAATTTAACAATGGTAGCCACAACACGTCACCTCATCGCTCGTATGTTTTCTTTAACGGCCTGCGAAGTACCAAAAACTTGTAAGTCACGTGTAATATTTAAATGTTAGTCACGTGATATTTGAATGTAAGTCACGTGTAATCAGTAGTCAATGACTAGACAGGGTTATTGAAAATTACAAAGAATATAATGGCGTATGGACTTGGGACCAGCTCATAGTACATTTCATTAATGCCCTCTTAAAACCATTCTGCTAGCTCAAATTATTTGTTATATAGTAGTGTTGAAAGTATTAAAACTTTAAGTAATTTGAGGAACACGTGTAGTCTTACACGTGACTACCTCTCCACTATCACTAAAGTCATTATAAGTGACCGGGGGGGTACCAATGGCATAGAATGGAGACAAATGGCATAAAATTCATCAAATGGCATAGAAATTTCATGGCATAAATGGAAATTTTGTTTGGCCAATTCTCCATTTATGCCAATTTATGCCATGAATTTAGGTCTTCATATTTGACCTTTAGGATGACTTTAAATTCGCAAATATTATTAGTACTTGAATAAGAGACATGTTTCATGCTTTATAACGCTTGGAATGATCTTTAAAGATTCATATGACAAATAAAGAAAATAGAAATGTATTATATCAAACATATACCAAACATTTGACTATTCAAGAAAAGCAAATTCGAAAGTAGGACCCTAGAGCGGAGTCAAATCGCCAGGGTAGGACTCTAGAGCGGAACCCCCTTACCGGACCCATACTATGAGGACCCTAGAGCGGAGTCAAATCGCCAAGGTAGGATTCTAGAGCGGAACTCCCTTACCGGACCCATACTATGAAGACTCTAGAGCGGTACCCACATGCAAATTTTAGAGCGGTTAGAAATTTGAGAGTAAAGTTAGTTTTGAAGATTGAGCTATGTTTTTTAATCAATGATTAATAATAGTCGTCACATAATGATGATAGAATTGATACAACTTATTATACATTAATACTGCGAATCAAATATCTTAAAATAGTTCACTCAGTTCCTCGACCATCACGTTCCTCAACATGTCAAGGTGGGAGAGTGAGACAATGTCATGATCGTCGTAGACTTTTACTAAATGTGCCAGTCGGCTATCCTTGGTACGCTGACGGGCTCGTTTTGCAGGAGGAGCATCCCCGTAACTCTCCTTGAGCATCATCTCATCTGTAGTGGACTGTTCTATGTAGACGGCTTGAAGAAAGGTCCAGATAGTTGGGTAAGAGTGTCCCAACATTGCTGCAAACTTTCTGTTAAAGGCCTCTGCGTAGTTGAAGTTGCAGGTAGTCCGGTCGACGAGGTTCCAGGATTGCGGAGGAAAGCGGGCAGGTTTGGTGCTACGAGCGGTGGAAACTCCCTGTACCCAATTCGTCATGAAGTAGTTAAGGAAGTCGTCGAGGCCAAGGTGGGAGGGTATAAGATCTAGGAGCTCCATGAAAGAAGGGAGAACATCGTCCACTGGGAGAAAGGCAAGCTGCATAGTGCATAAGTCTACGTATCCACACTCGAACAGGACCTGAAGTCCAGGAATTGGTAAGGGGGTCGTTAATTCCTTCGTCGTAGTCCTTCTTCAGTCCGTTCTCCCGTACCCATCTCAGCTGTTCGTCCCCGGATGAAGACGGCCTTCTCAGGAAGAGTTAAGTAATAACTGTTACTCAGCATATTGTAGATAGTTGTGAAGAGGAGTAGGAATCGAATGTGATATACTAAACTAAATTCTCTGTGACATTTATACTGCACTATCGAAATCACTAACAAGAACCGCTATGCGATGGGATCTGATCTGGAACATACCCTGTCACTAGACTGAACATGAGATACCCTTAGTAGGTGCTAAAGTGTCACGCGATGAGATCCTCATTCCTAAATGATCTGCTTGAGTGCACGTACTTGGTCGGTATTTCGCTTAGCGAAATCACATCGACCAGTTCATAATTATACCTCTTTATCAAAGAATCTTTTTGCATTTTAGAGTAGCATCAGGATATTTCAGTCAAATGGAAGAAGTTTATACCGAACAATTGTCTAACGTATCTAAAAATTACAATATGATATGATGTATAATATAAATAATCTAGGACAATTTTCTGCTTCAACAACTCCATGAATTATTCTAATCTCACTATTATAATAATCAATCACGAGTTGTATCTAATCTGATTTCAATCTTCCGACCAAGTCCACTCTACAGTCCGATCTCAAATTTCTAACCGCTCCAAAATTTACATGTGGGTACCGCTCTAGAGTCCTCATAGTATGGTTTCGGTAAGGGAGTTCCGCTCTAGAGTCCTATCCTGGCGATTTGACTCCACTCTAGGGTCCTTATAGTATGGTTCCGGTAAGGGGGTTCCGCTCTAGATTCCTACCCTGGCGATTTGACTCCGCTCTAGGGTCCTACTTTTGACCAAGTACGCCATACAGTCCCCCGCTCTACAGTCCTACAGCCCAAATTGTGAGATGTTCAAAATCCTACAATGATTATACTAGATTAACGTTATTATAGAAAAATAATTAAGGAGTGCTATGTTGCCATGCAGCAGTGAATATGAAGATATTTAAGCAATATATTATGTCATCATAATTTTGTATAATAGGAAGCAAGTATTTCAGGTCATTTGGTGAACTGTTATGTAATACTAATATACAGGTTCATCGAGATATCAATGAATATTACTTTTAAGAGGCTACCCATTCGAAACACAGATCATTATCAATCTTGTGAAAATGTTTAAATTTCAAAACATTCTACATGAACACGGTCCCGACACGATACATCTGTACACATCATTAACAAATAATATTTTAATCGAGTTGGTAATGTTACAGTTTTCCACTGTTAATTTGGATATCCGATTGACTGGGAGCATTCAGTCGACTGTCCTCTCTGTTATACGGTGTGTAGCGTGTACTATGCCATACTGCCCGGTCACTTGTCCACAATCAACCAAATCATCATATCATATTGATATACATTGAACGTAATTATAATCAATAATGCCCATTGCTAGGGATATTTTGAGGAATTTAATGGGTGAAAATAGATGTTGTAGTACAATAAATAGAGATAAAGGTGGACAGTACTAGTGGGGTGCAGACAATTCGTTAAATTAAATTCTCAGTTCAAAGTTTTAAAATTTCATATTTCGAATGGCATAGAATGGAGACAAATGGCATAAAATTCATCAAATGGCATAGAAATTTCATGGCATAAATGGAAATTTTGTTTGGCCAATTCTCCATTATGCCATTTATGCCATTGGTACCCCCCAAGTGACCACTACTGTAAATATTGTGCCGCACAATACTTAGCGTTACCAAGTTACAAAGTTGTATATTTCTCTCAATGATTGCTAATTGCTTACTACCAATACTAAATGTATGATAGTAATATGGTATGCCACCATCTGGCGATGAACATATGGAGACAAACATTAATGACAAACTACATGATTTGTTAACATTCCTGTACAATGAACAGCCCTTGCTCAAACAAAACTTTTGTCTGGTTGAAATATTAGCTGGGCGTAGTCTGTTGAAAAACAGACCACCATGACAAATAACCGTTACTTTTCTGCAATTTTATATTTTATCCTAATGAAATCATCAACTGTACTAGTTTATTAGGGAGTTGGCGAATATAATACATTGCAACAGATGCAAATATGTTGACATTTTGTATTCACATCTTGTATCGTGTCTACCGCTGGCTAATACGCTCAAATATCTGAGATTTGAACAACGTAACGGTCCTCACAAAGTAAGTTATTGATCCCACAAAGTAAGTTATTGATCCCACAAAGTAAGTTATTTTTACAACCTTACTTACTTTACGTCAGAAATTTATTTTATTTTTAACAAATTTATTTTATTTTCAGGCTCTGATAGCTCCTCTGGGACGTATCATAATATTATTTAATCAGCGACAGTTTGCTAAGATATGCAAAGACAACGCCTAATATCAGACTTTTCGAGTTAAGTCTGGAATTGAAAGACTTGATGTAGAATCTGCCGCGATTTATTCATTAGCGTCACGACACAGAACATTGAATTGCCAACCTCATTGTATTGTCATGAAATAACTCATCGTATCCTGTGAGGATAATACACGATATTTTATTTATCAGTGATATGTTATCATAATAACTCATAAGCATGTTTTTAAGAATTTAATTGAAGGTTGAACTATTTAAAACGCAGATGTATTCAAAACGCGCAGATATATTCCCGTTAGAAAATACATTTATAAGTTGTTCAAGATAAGAGGGCGTTTTGATGAATAATTGTTAAACTTATTGTAAATTGTTCAAGGATTGATAAGACCAATCTGGTATTGATTGTTTAATTAGAATGTATTTTTGTATATCGTAACGTTTAGACAATTCAAGTAACTATTTCAGAAAATAAGTGTTTTTCGATTATTTACAAAATGCTTAAATTCTCAATTCTTTGCAAGGTTGCCGGTACCGTAAAATTGAGGGGTCAATCGAAATAAAAGGTAACATGATCGTCAAGAGTACTCAATCGGTTAATCTAGCTAGATTGCATGAAAAAGGAACCAGAACGATGATGTAACCGGAAACCAAAAACCATCCAAATGTTTAAATACCCGCCGCCGCCGTGAAAAGAATAGTTTTACAAGTTGTTATTAAGTGCAAACCGTTGTTGAAGTCACTGCAGGCGGGTCGGTCACAGAGTTTGTATCGCGGAATTGTAACGCGCATTGCAACAATTGTGTGCCAGTCTCTTGAACGTAACGCGCGTGACATGTATGCCTGCTGACGGACGCGAGTTCCTATATATCATGGACACTGCACCCTTGATCCGATATGGCCTAACAACTTCCGATCGATCCCTCATTTGAATTGAACTTATATTATATATTAACTGCAGACACCACGGTAGTCAGCACCCACGAAGCCCGACCAACTCGGTTATACTCTAAGACTAGAATCAGAAAGTCTGCTCTTATTGGACAGGCTTCTCGGATACACCCGTGATCTGTACAGTTGACTCACAGGGTACGCAATGTTGCTGTACTACCAGAGCCCTCGCAGTTGCAGTACGCGAAGACTCATGCATCATCGCTATGTGAATACGTAAGGTGTCCAACGGGAAGCCCAAAACGGAGTCGATGTGTTTGCACGCTACACGTGCAGGATTTGTTGCTACACTGCACTGGAGTCTTGTGTTGGGTTTCTGAAAGTCATGTCAGGCATGTTATCCACTCTGGGTTATCTCCAGTCATTCAAGCGGAGTTGGGGAAGATTCTATAAAGAGACTCCGCCTAATATCAACCTACCACACTAATAGGTAACAGGCCATCCCTGTTAACCCTCGACTAAGCTAGACTAGAGACTCCTGCAACGTTATGAGGTCGATTGCAAACATCAGAACATAAATTTTTTTAAAGAATGGGAATATCAACCGTTACGAGATTGATTTAGGATGTAAATAAAACACGTTCCTGATTTGGTATGTGTTTTGGAGGCCATGAGAACGACTGTAAAAATTCAGCCTGCTGGTTAACTTGAGATCAAGCAATTGGGCAGCAGATTAATACTTCCCAAATCTTGCTTGTCCTGCGCTTGTAGGAGGTAACATCTTCAAAGTGGAATTGATCTAACACCCCACGACGTACTCGGACATTTGACTGGAAAACGTTTCCCGCCTATCCAAACTTCTTCTCCAATATCAGCTGTTTTCGTATATTATCCGTACGTGCGCGCTGAATTTCGGTAGCTACAACGTGTTCCGTACACGAAATTAAGTTTCGCGCCACATATTGTTAAGCTACATCCCGACGGATTGGCGGTGGAAGTTCCCACTGTCCACCGCATCAAAGTTCACTGAGAGACTGACCACACTCAAGACTGTTCAAGAATTCGAACTTTCTTTGTTTGGTCCATTGTTCATTTATTGATGGTCCCGGTGACTTTTTAACAGTATTGTAACACGTTTTTAAGTTCAAGAAATAAAACATCACTTAACTTCAATATTGAAAATATAACACTAATCAAGATAAAATGTGCTTAGATCGTATGTAAAGTGAAACATTTGTCAGCCTCATACAGAACACAAAATACTTCCTGAAGATGGTTGGTTAGCCCCTTCCTCTCCGGAGAGAGGAGATATCCTATCCCGAATCCTTATCCTATCACGGGTTTGAATGCAGGGCATCGAACATCTAAACGGAATCCTAGAATTGAGCATCATTTTAGGCTCCTTTGGGGACATCATTTGGACATCAATTATGGGCTCCTAGGGCGGCTTTAAAGTTCCTCAAAGGACATCAAGATCAAGGGGGTCCATCCTTCGATGTCCTCGAGCCGGCTACAAATATTAGTATTAGATTCGAGAAAAAGGATATTTGCAACGCAAACGGGGTGGAATGGTAGTTACGAAATATGCCCAAAATTCGCATAAATGGCCACACTTAAATTGATGCCGCAAGACCTCCAAAAAGGTAAACAAAAAATACCCTATTAGCAATTTTGCAATATTTGAAGAATTTACCACCTCTTGAAGCCTGAAGGCAAACTTTTCGATACGAAAAGTACAGACCACGCCGCTTTTTTAACCTAACTAAGACCGCCTTTTTTTGATATTATGCAACCGATTGAGCCCGTTGAACACTACGAAGACATGCGAAAAGAATTACAATTTATTATGTATCAGCAACAACTACACTCCAAAAACAAAAGTGTGCGTTGGGATATTTTAAATGTTGAATTTCCATTTTCCTGAACATGCGTGCTACAATCATAGCACGCCAGCAAAGCAGGGGTATCTAGGACAAAATCGCACATTATATATGGGCTAGCGAATGTATAAGATAGCTACTGCGATTTGACATTTGCGCAAACATAATACCTAATAGCTATTGTATATAATGGTAACATTTTAATATACTGATTAACTAATTAATTAATTAATCAGTAGTAGCAACATAAGAGCAGGACAACTAAACCCACCTAGATCCGTTCCTTCCTTAACTCCAAAAAGTGTTCCTTGCTGAGAAATTCCCCTGAAAACAGTTTTCCCCGAATAAAAAGTTCCTGGTGTTTAGTAAGGTGTTCGGCTGCGAGAGCGACCTCGAGATCGGCTGCGGGAGCGGGAGTAGGAGCGACCACGTTTGGGACTGCGACTGTAGGATTTGCGGGGTGAACGGGAGCGGGATCTGCGGGAACTACCGCCTCCTCCACCGCCTCCAGATGTGTCTTCTGTCACTGTGATGTAGGTAGTTTCTCCCTGAAAGAGGAATGAGGTTCATAACTCGATTAAACGAGGATGATGAAATTTGGATTGATAATAATATGAGTATACACTTATCACACCGATAAGTCGAGATACCGATCTATAATATTAGAATAGAAGAGTATGTAACTCCAATAGCAACATCTATATATTACATCGTGTTGAATTTAAAAAACCATAAAAACCTCGTGAGACTTGAACTTGGTGTTGTCGAGTTTCTCAACGGCTGTATCCACGTCTTTCTGTCGAGCGAACTCGACAATTCCTGATCCGTCACCGTACACTTCAGCGTAATACACGTCACCAGCCTCACGGAGATGGTCCTTGATGTCCTGGAATTCGGAAATTAGTTTATAAAACCGGATATTCGGTAACAAAACAACATTTAGATTGCAGAGGAATAAATTGGCTTAGTGTTCACTATTCCACATACGCCGTACGCCCATGTCACGGATGAAGACGTATAACATCTAAGTGATACAAGTTCGTTTTGACATACGAGAGATTCACCAGCCAACTTGATAAATCAAGTACGTGAATCGCAGTGACACGTCAAAACAAACATTAAACTTGCGTCACATCCCTTAGTTGTGTAGTTTGGGGGCCTCTGGCTATGTTTGTTTGGCCATTAACCGGAAGTACAATTAGTACATAGAGTTAGTGCCCTTCAAATGATGCTAACTCTTGTTCAGATATGTATGCTTTGCCTTGCCAAGACGAGATGATCAGTGTAAGTTCTAAAAACAGTTAGTTGGAATGCTTAACCAAGTACCATATTAAATTTTCTGGCTTGTTTAATTTCTCGGTATTATGAATCTTTTAAGTTCGAGTAGGGTAAGTCCTATGTTTCAGACGTTAACTTTCTATCAACAACAAAACAACCACTTGGGTTAGCTGAGTTTTAAAAGTAGCGCTTCTAATTGTCATAGCAAAACTGATAGTACATTTTGTGGTCAGAACTATGACTTTGGCCATGAAAATGTAGTGTACGGGTGACAAAAGAATGTTTAAAAACAGTTACTAGGCGCGGTGTTTAAAACTTTGTTCCCCAACCTATTGTCACAATAACTTAGCGAACACATTCCATTCTAAAATTCTGAGAACTACAATACCTGCCAGCTGCCAGTGGGTGGCAGTCCTCCGACTTTGACGCGATACTCAGAGCGTCTGGGGATGTTGGGGTGTCTGCCACCTCGATCTCCACCACCACCACCACCACCACCACGTCCTCGACCTCTGTAGTAAGATGATCCTCCTCCTGACCGGGGAGGTGATCTGTCTCGGTCACGTCCGCCTCTGCAGCGTTCTACTCTCAGTCTGTATCCTTCGAAATCGTATCCGTTCCTCGCTCGGATAGCATCGTCTGCGTCTGAAGGTTGAAACTTTGTGAGCACAAGAAAATGAAAATACATCTCATATATTCTGTGATATTTCAAAACTAATAGATTTTCATAATGAAATAGATTTTCATAATGATTACACAATACACATCACCTATAGCCACACAATTTTTCAATATGTTTGAGAAATTCCCGATAGCACAATTCTATAAGAATCGTATCAACTGTTAGGATCACTATTCACTATTCGTATCACTATCTAATTACAATATTGACATTGCACCATGAGAATCTAATATTGAAGCTCACGAAGTTTATCGAGAATGGGTATTTTGAAAACACTGTTTTCTAAGAGTTCTATGGCATCACTGAGGCTGCTAATTAATTGTGTAAGAATAAAGACTAGAATTTAGATTTACATGTGTAGTACTGAGTACAGCGTGGGGAAAGTGTCATCACCATTTTTTTAACGAAATTTTTCAAATAAAAGCCTTCAAATAAAAGCCTTCTCCACCGTTGAAACCCGAAACAATAAAATCAAGTGGGCACCGTCAATGACACTCCCAGCCCTCCTAGTTTAAATTTGATCACTTACTTAATCAGAAGAAGAGTAGAAAATATCTCACCTCTGTCGTCATCAAAGAGAACGAATGCAAAAGGAGCACCACCACCACGAGTACTATGAATATCAACATCAACAATCTTCCCGTACTTGTAGAACACGTCCTCCAAATCTCTGCTCCTCACATAGTCTGGCAGATTTCCAACATAGACTTTACAGTCGTCTCGATCACCACCCATATCTAGCTTTTAGAAGGTTCTTGGTAAAATTACTTATAAAAGTATGTTTTAGAAAAGTGAGTGATTTTACTAACACATGATTTGAATTATTATTCAATCAAGTATAAAAACCAAATACAAATACACACTACACAGCCAAGAAAGAATTAATGCAAATATTTGCTGGATGTACGCTATTAAAAATATTTAGATAAAAGAATTAAAAAGTCTCTGAAACTGAACACAACAGTCAAAACTATAGTCAAAGAAAAATGAATTATCGCCACTAGATTCGTCTCTGGCTGAGTATCTTATTAAAACATTCGAGCGGGTGACAGAACAAAGATAATGTGCTGCTATCGTATGGTTCCCATGATAAAGTTGAGTAAAGTAAAGTAAAAATTATGAAATAACATCATCACACATGTCTACAAATTATCAAATCACTATATGGAAAAATATAAATACCTTACCACCAAAATTAATAAATTATTAACTACAACTTTATTAAAAAATCTCAAATAAATTCAAAAAGCATCCCCAAAAGAGAACCCTATTCATACTTCCCAGTGGAATAAAGATTTATAAATCGCTTTTTTGCCACGAAAGGGTGGAAATAAAGATAATCGTTATGCTTCTCTTTATTACTAACATAGCTAGGTCCTTCAATTCTCCCTAATACTTCATTTGAATGATGAAAGCAAGCTTCTAAATTCGGGATAGCCTGTAGCAGGCAACGCTCGATTCTAATGCTTCTAGTGGGCCTGTTGATAGCTTGGATGTGTTTTATTACAGTGTAGACTTACTTATATGGGTCTATAAGGTGGAATAGTGGGTCTGTTGATATTGATAGTGGGTCTGTTGTTATTAAGTGTGTGTCTACTCGCTTAATAGTGGGTCTTTGCTACTCTGAAATGGGTCTGTAGATTGACTTGTGGGTCTGTAAGATGAAATAGTGGGCCTGTTGATATTGATAGTGGGTCTGTTGTTATTAAGTGTGTGTCTACTCGCTTAATAGTGGGTCTTTGCTACTCTGAAATGGGTCTGTAGATTGACTTGTGGGTTTGTAAGATGAAATAGTGGGCCTGTTGATATTGATAGTGGGTCTGTTGTTATTAAGTGTGTGTCTACTCGCTTAATAGTGGGTATTTGCTACTCTGAAATGGGTCTGTAGGTTGACTTGTGGGTCTGTAAGATGAAATAGTGGGCCTGTTGATATTGATAGTGGGTCTGTTGTTATTAAGTGTGTGTCTACTCGCTTAATAGTGGGTCTTTGCTACTCTGAAATGGGTTTGTAAGATGAAATAGTGGGCCTGTTGATATTGATAGTGGGTCTGTTGTTATTAAGTGTGTGTCTACTCGCTTAATAGTGGGCCTTTGCTACTCTGAAATGGGTCTGTAGGTTGACTTGTGGGTCTGTAAGATGAAATAGTGGGCCTGTTGATATCGATAGTGGGTCTGTTGTTATTAAGTGTGTGTCTACTCGCTTAATAGTGGGCCTTTGCTACTCTGAAATGGGTCTGTAGATTTATTTGTGGGTCTGTAAGGTTACAAAGTGGGTCTGTTGTTATTGGCAGTGGGTCTGTAAGGTCAAATAGTGGGCCTATTGTTATTAAGTGTGTGTCTACTCGCTTAATAGTGAGTTTTTGCTACTCTGAAATGGGTCTGTGGATTGACTTGTGGGTCTGTAAGATGAAATAGTGGGTCTGTTGATATTGATAGTGGGTCTGTTGTTATCAACTGTGTGTCTACTCCCCCATGGTCGCCTGGTAACTGGGCTGTGTTTATGACTGCAGTCAGTCAAAGATTTGAAGAGTGGATTAGTAAATATCTGTCATAACATCCAAGCAAACATTCTAGAAGACTTCTATAAATAGTCAATAGTGTCCCCTAGACCGTAGGAAATGTAAAAATCTTAAGACGATGAGGCCTGAGTAAGTCTTAAATTCTGATTGGAGAATGCAGATTGCTGTTGTGAAGTTACCAAATTTACGTGAGTACTTGATTCTTTTCAATCCCAGTTTATTGCTGTCCTACAAATTTCTTAAATGCCAAATGTCGTCTAAAGGGGGGGGTGACATGTCTCCAATGTCTCCCGCACCTTATCTTTTCGAAAAAGACAAAGACATTGGAGACATTGGAGACACAGCTTTTGGAGACATTGGAGACATTTGGGACATTAGAGACACAGCTTTTGGAGACATTGGAGACACAGCTTTTGGAGACATTGGAGACATTCGGGACATTTGGGACATTGGGGACATTAGAGACACCGCTTTTGGAGACATTGGAGACACAGCCTCCTCCTCCTCCTCCTCCTCCTCCTCCTCCTCCTCTTCCTCCTCAGTCCTCCTCAGTTGTTCTCCTCCTCCTCCTGAGTCCTCCTCCTCCTGAGTCCTCCTCCTCCTGAGTCCTCCTACTCCTCTTCATCCTCCTCCTCTTCCTCCTCAATCATCAGTCCTCCTCCTCATCTTTCTCGTCAGTCTTCCTCCTCCTCCTCAGTCCTCCCCAAGTCCCCCTCCTCCTCAGTCCTCCCCCAGTCCCCCCTCCTATTCAGTCCTCATCCTCCTCCTCCTCAGTTCTCCTCAGTCCTCCTCCTTCTCAGTCCTCCTCCTGAGTCCTCTTCCTGAGTCCTCCTCCTGAGTCCTCCTCTTCCTGAGTCCTCCTCCTCCTAGGTCCTCCTCCTTCTCCTCCTCCTCCTCCTCCTCAGTCCTCCTCCTCCTCCTCCTCCTCCCTCTCAGTCATCCTCCTCAGTCATCCTCCTCAGCCATCCTCCTCAGCCGTCCTCCTCAGCCTTCCTCATCAGTACTCCTCAGTCCTCCTCCTCAGTCCTCATCCTCCTCCTCAGTCCTCCTCCTCATCCTTTTCCTTAGTCCTCCTCTTCCTCAGTCCTCCCCAGTCCCCCTCCTCCTCCCATTCACTCCTCCTCCTCCTCCTCAGTTTTCCTGAGTCTTCCTCCTGAGTCCTCCTCCTCCTCCTGAGTCTTCCTCCTGAGTCCTCCTCCTGGGTCCTCCTCCTCCTAGGTCCTCCTCCTTCTCCTCCTCAGTCCTTCTCCTCCTCCTCCTCAGTCCTCCTCCTCCCTCTCAGTCATCCTCCTCAGCCATACTCATCAGTCCTCCTCAGTCCTTCTCCTCCTCCTCAGTCCTCATCCTCATCCTCCTCTTCAGTCCTTCTCCTCCTGGGTCCTCTTCCTCCTCTTCATCCTCCTCCTCTTCCTCCTCAGTCCTCAGTCCTCCTCCTCATCCTTCTCGTCAGTCCTCCTCCTCCTATTCAGTCCTCCTCCTCCTCCTCCTCAGTTCTCCTCAGTCCTCCTCCTGCTCATTCCTCCTAAGTCCTCCTCCTGAGTCCTCCCCTTCTTCCTCCTGAGTCCTCCTCCTGGTTCATCCTCCTCCTAGTTCCTCCACCTTCTCCTTCTCCTCCTCAGTCATTCTCCTCCTCCTCCTCCTCAGTCATCCTCTTCAGTGCTCCTCAGTCCTCCTCCTTCTCAGTCCTCCTCAGTCCTCTTCCTGAGTTCTCCTCCTCCTCAGTCCTCCTTCTGGGTCCTCCTCCTCCTAGGTCCTCCCCCTCCTCCTCCTATTCACTCCTCAGTTTTCCTGAGTCCTTCTCATGAGTCCTCCTCCTGAGTCCTCCTCCTGGGTCCTCCTCCTCCTAGGTCCTCCTCCTTTTCCTCCTCAGTCCTTCTCCTCCTCCTCCTCAGTCCTCCTCCTCCTCCCTCTCAGTCATCCTCCTCAGCCATCCTCCTCAGTCCTCCTCCTCCTCAGTCCTCATCCTCATCGTCCTCTTCAGTCCTCCTCCTCCTGGGTCCTCTTCCTCCTCTTCATCCTCCTCTTCCTCCTCAGTCCTCAGTTCTCAGTCCTCCTCCTCATCCTTCTCGTCAGTCCTCCTCCTCCTCAGTCCTCCCCAGTCCCCCTCCTCCTCCTATTCAGTCCTCCTCCTCCTCCCCAGTTCTCCTCAGTCCTCCTCCTTCTCATTCCTCCTAAGTCCTCCTCCTGAGTCCTCCCCCTCTTCCTCCTGAGTCCTCCTCCTGGTTCATCCTCCTCCTAGTTCCTCCACCTTATCCTTCTCCTCCTCAGTCCTTCTTCTCCTCTCCTCCTCAGTCATCCTCTTCAGTGCTCCTCAGTCCTCCTCCTTCTCAGTCCTCCTCCTTCTCAGTCCTCCTCAGTCCTCTTCCTGAGTTCTCCTCCTCCTCCTCCTCCTCAGTCCTCCTTCTCGATCCTCCTCCTCCTAGGTCCTCCCCCTCCTCCTCCTATTCACTCTTCAGTTTTCCTGAGTCCTTCTCCTGAGTCCTCCTCCTGGGTCCTCCTCCTGGGTCCTTCTCCTCCTAGGTCCTCCTCCTTCTCCTCCTCAGTCCTTCTCCTCCTCCTCCTCAGTCCTCCTCCTCCTCCCTCTCAGTCATCCTCCTCAGCCATCCTCCTCAGTCCTCCTCCTCCTCCTCAGTCCTCATCCTCATCGTCCTCTTCAGTCCTCCTCTTCCTGGGTCCTCTTCCTCCTCTTCATCCTCCTCCTCTTCCTCCTCAGTCCTCAGTCCTCAGTCCTCCTCCTCATCCTTCTCGTCAGTCCTCCTCCTCCTCAGTCCTCCCCAGTCCCCCTACTCCTATTCAGTCCTCCTCCTCCTCCTCAGTTCTCCTCAGTCCTCCTCCTTTTCATTCCTCCTAAGTCCTCCTCCTGAGTCCTCCTCCTCTTCCTCCTGAGTCCTCCTCCTGGTTCATCCTCCTCCTAGTTCCTCCACCTTCTCCTTCTCCTCCTCAGTCCTTCTCCTCCTCCTCCTCAGTCATCCTCTTCAGTACTCCTGAGTCCTCCTCCTTCTCAGTCCTTTTCCTGAGTTCTCCTCCTCCTCCTCCTGAGTCCTCCTTCTGGGTCCTCCTCCTAGGTCCTCCTCCTTCTCCTCCTCAGTCCTACTCCTCCTCCTCAGTCCTTTTCCTCTTCCTCCTCCTCCTCCTCCCTCTCAGTCATCCTCCTCAGCCATCCTCCTCAGCCATCCTCCTCAGTACTCCTCAGTCCTCCTCCTTCTCAGTCCTCCTCAGTCCTCT